ACACATTCTCCCAAAAAGTGACTCAAACAAAGCAAATTAAGAAATGTAGAATTTCATGTAACGAACGAAGATAACACGTTTACACATTAAGAAGTTACATTTCACAAATCAAGAAATGTAGAAATTCATGTAACGGATGGAAAAAATACATGTTACAAATTAAGAAAGTACATTTTACAAATTAAGAAATTGCATGTTACAAATTAAGAAACGTATAATTACGGCGGATATTCCCTTCCATACTTTCAAATAAAATTGAGAATGGAAATGGGGAATACGTCAAAGAGACAACAACCCGACCAAAGAGCAGACAACAGCCGAAGGCAAACCAATGGGTCTTCAACGCAGCGAGAAAATCCCGCACCCGGAGGTGGTCCTCAGCTGGCCCCTAAATAAAATTGTGTACTAGTTCAGTGAAAATGGACGTCACACTTAACTCCAAAACATATAAATGAACTAAAATTAAAAAACATACAAGACTTACAAAGGCCAGAGGCTCCTGCCTTGGGACAGGCGCAAAAATGCGGCGGGGTTAAACATGTTTTGTGAGATCTCAACCCTCCCCCTATACCTCTAGCCAATGTAGAATAAAGAAACACATAGCAATACGCACAGTAAAACTCAGTTCAAAAGAAGTCCGAGTCCGATGTCAGAATATGTAACAAAGAAACTAAGCAAAATGACAATGATACATAAATGAACAAAGGACTACTAGCAGTTACTGACATGCCAGCCCCAGACCTCAATTAAACTGAGCTCCTTTGTTTCATATACAATGTATTTAATATGTAATTTCCACACTGACAACGAAATTTGTTTTCGATTTACATAAACTTTTTTTTCAATTTCCATTTTGTAACAAACCTGCATCGTTTGTAGTATTTTTTGGTTTAGGCATAATTCTAATACTCAGGAAGTTTCCTAAAATACATGAAACGCATTTCAAGTTATTTTTTAGGCATATCTATCTGACTATTGACTCTATCTTATTTTTATTGTCCTGCTCTAGGCTTTACATTATGGACTTAGAGCTCCTTTTGTAATGTTTGTTAGTTCTGGGCTCCAATGATATGTCACCAAAGGTACTGGCTCTGGACTTCAAAGGAACTGGTGGAGCCAATGTTATCACCACAAATTATAGCCCTTTAATACAACAGCAGATTACTTGAATTTTATCAGAGTGTCACCATATTACACTTTTTCCCTGAATTCCTCTGGCGAAAAGGGTGTACTGATGTATGAAATAGGGATTGCAGCACTTATTTTATGGTAATAATGATTTGTGGAATACAACATATTAGAATTGAAATAATTTTTGATGACACTAACGTGTAATTCCACAGGAATTAACCATGTTACTCGAGTGTAATACACATAAAATCGGGAAATTTCAATATGATTATGAATGATGAATGAAATATAATTCACGATACCACGTTTCTTTTGATTATCAAGCGTACAAGGATCATTGTTTTTGATATTTTTTTAGGTGAACAAGTGTTTTAACATAACTGATAATTGTGATATTTGATATGAAAATATTTCGTAACTTGTGATAACGGAACTAATATTGTACTTGTTCTAAAAGGGGAACAATTTCATGCATGTATATTTCTTAGTATACGACAAATGCCTTTTTCCAATACTTTCGCGCTTTGATTTCGTCATATTTTTTGTTTTCTGTTTCTGATGAGTTTTTTTAGAGAGTAAAGATAACATTTAGCTCCACAAAGACATAATTTTCATGGAGATGCTGAAATATGCACAATGATTGCCACTCGTTGAAAAGAAAATATGTAAAACGTTTGAAAACTAGCACACACCAACAATGGCCTAAGCACAAAATAACCCGAAGGGAGGAAGCATTAGTTGTTGCAGAGTCACATAGTTTGATGAACTGTTCGATACTTCACACTTTTAACTTGTATTTAAATAATGTACATTATTGATGCTGAAAAGTTTACTTCTGTCGTAATGAAATTGTCTAAATTAAGGGATGGTTATTAACTACACCCAACATCATGACAGTGGTTACAAAGCAACTTGTCGAAATCAATTTTATTTTGAACCAGTAGTCCACAGCTTCCACAATAAAGTACATTACCTTTTGATGTTGATGTAACTGTGTCCTACAACTATTACAATGTCATTATTTAAATTACATTGTTTCGACTACAATCGCACGCTAATCTTTAACATAAAGGACAGTTGATTGAATAAAAGTGATGGATTGCCACGCTTATATTAAACTGAGGTCCTATGAACTTAGCCTGGCGTCCTGACCGAATCTAATAATTCGTCTATTGTCGAGCAGTGGGCCAGGATCCCAGGCTACTATGAACTGACTTCAGATTGCTGTCAATATGAGGGAAAATATTCCAGATATATTTAGACAATTAGTTGGGAACCAGTATTCGATATTTAAAAATATTGATATCTTTAATTGTTTTAGTATTAAAAGTGTTGAGTAACGTACATGAATTGTAGATTAAGTTTGGGAAGTCGTATACACACCCTTTTTGTAGTCATTCCACATAAAGACATACAAATAATCTGCAGGTTTTGTGATTTTATAAGAATTGCAAATATTTAACAAATTCAAATTCTCATACGGAATGATTTTCTTTTTTTTCCTCAACACTGCCTGCTGAAGAGAGCGAGAGAAGGTAGGAGGGGTGTCATCCCGAATTTCTGGAGAAAAAAAAGAAGCTGAATATCGAAATCCCGAAAAAATAAAGCATTTCATGCCGAATCCCGAAAAATTAATCATTGATTCCCGAGTCCCAATAAGTGTAAATTCCGATTTCACACAAAAATGTAGGACCAACCCGACGTCCCGAAAAGATCTGTTCAAGAGTTCAGTTTATCTAAATTTTCAGAGATTAATATCAAACAAAAAAATTTTACAAAAATTAGTCTTCAGACACGTTAATTGATAAAAGGTATAGTCTGGATTTTGCTAGAAAATAGCCAATGAAATGCATACAATATCGTATGTCATGGGTCACGCACGAACTGTCTTACTTTATAGGGATGCTAATGTGGCACATCAAAGATAAGATATACTTTAACCAGACATGTACCCATTGTACCACAAAACTTAAATTAACCTGAATACATTGACATCTTATCCTGTCGACTTTGAAACCCGTCAGACAGTTCCACAGAAGAGACCTTGATGAATTTTGAAATTTAAACAACTCTTTACTTCCACGGGAACGATGATTTTGCTAGTACTTTGTAGTGATAAGTTCATCAACGAAGTAATTTTAAAAATTTGAACCTTCTTAAAGCAAGAAGGTCTCCTTGTGTACCCGAAGTTTTGTTTTGTGGACATATGTTGTTGTGGATAAAGTCGCACCGACTTAAACAATGTAGGGTCTACATAGAAATGACGATTTAGGGGTTCGAGGTACAATGTATTTATAATTTGAATAAAAATGTTATCTATGTAGAATTTTGCTGTCATTTCAATTTGATTCAAACTCAATTATGTATATTTAATTGGTTAAAAAAAAATTTCACTCCACCCCTAGTCCTATAATATAAGACTTCGTAGGTTCATATCGTTTGCATTCAACGTAAAAATATCCGTAGATGTTATAGCAACTATAGGTCATCGTACGGCCTTCGTCAATAAGCAAAACCCATACCGCAATAAGCAAGCCATAAAAGGCCCAGACATAACAAAATGTAAGCAATCCAAACGAGAAAACAAAAGCCTGAATTATGCACAAAACAACAAACGAGTAACAAATATGATACACAGCAACGAACGATAACCACTAAATTACAATCTCCTGATTTGGGACAGGCACATAGATAATGCGAGTCAAACATATTTTTGTGCGTTGTAAATTACACCACAGACTTTCTTTATTCAAAGAATAAATTCGAAAGTACATAATTATTACCAATTCTCCATGATAAAGAAGGTTTATAATGTAATGTCTTTTGGATTCAAACTAATTAAATTTGGGTTAGCGATGCAAAATTTTAGATATTTAGCTTGCAAGTAAAAAAAAATACAGTGGAAATTGTCCGCATCTTCTTGGTGAGTTTTTAGTAAAGATTAACATTTAAGACTAGTGTGTGAAATGCATTGCCTCTTTTACAAAAGTATATTCACGCACGTAGCGAAAATGTATAAATTTCAATTGACAATGAGAGACACGTTTTCACTGACTTTTTGGCAAAAGAGAACTTTCCCTTCATACGCAATATTTTCAAGCAAGTACTATGTAATCTTACTTTCATACAACAGGTCACTCTACTCCTCTTCATATTTATATGAAATCTATGGATCTCGTAAAATTTACGACTCCAGAATATCTTTCACAGTTGATTAGTATTTGAAACATCGGTACTAAATATATCATGCTGAAATTTTTTTTCTTATGCACCGATTTTTTCATTTTTAGGAAGAGGATGCATTCTTAAAAAAATAAAATGTTTGACTAAATGTCTTGAAAAATGCACTGCTTGTTTTGAAATGGAATGGAAAAAAGTAGTTTATTTGGATTGTCTACTGAAATTTTTAATTTAATAGATTTATTTTGAATCCATGTAAAGTTTCCCGATATGACGTTCAAAATACGGTTATCAATCAATTTAAGAAGGCGGGATAAACGGTCATTGGTATCCAATGTACAAAGTGTTGAAGAGCGGTGATGCTCAAACACATCGAATGACATTGTCATAAATAAATGACAATGTTATATAAACAACAAAAGCATAATCAGATTGTTTAATCATAATTCAAAACAAAATAAAGTTGAAATTGACAAGCAGCTTTGTAACCACTGTCATGATGTTGGGTGTAATTTGATTTGTTTGTTTACTTTTTTATTTTTTTCAATATGAAAAGTATGGAAAGTAGACATCCTTTTCCACCAAAAATGCTAGTTGCGTTCCTTTAAATATTTTGTCTGCCCTTATTTTTTTATATTAATACTAACACATAGGCTACTATAATGTGGTTTATTCTTGTATACTTGTAGAATGTTGTTTGTGAAGGTATTGTGTGTAATCGCTGTTACTATTGCCTGTAATGAATGCGATCTTGATTTTCGTGTCATAGATTTGACTCATACTATTGGACCGATGGAGGTTAAATTTCCAGATCAGCCTCCATGGAACTTTACAATATTGACAAGAGGGTTCAGTCGAAGTGCACAAATTTGGTATGTATAATTAATTTGCATATAACTGTTATCAATAATTAAAACTGTACATACAACATGTCCTTATTAATTGAACTTCCTACATGCGTCAACTTTTCCATATGTGTGATCCCTCTTGCTCTAGGCTATGTATTAAACTTTTTGCCAACCAATACATATGGATTGATCTTGTTTTGAATACAGATTTCTAAATACTCATTTATTAGCTCTAAAGAAATGTATAATTTTGGCGAATGTATTCAATGTTTTCAAGAACTAAAACAATGCTGGTCATATGTTGCGGTGTTACTTGTCCAATAGTGCAAAATCAGTGTTATTAGGGATCATTCGAGTTACAAAATGAAAAAAAAGGTATTGATTTTAACCCTCTTGCTGCCGGAGGGACACATATGAATGTATGAAAGCATTTGTTCATCATTGTATCTCTTTCAAATAAAATATCGAAGATATTTCAGCGTAATATTTTTCTTCAATGGGTCATCAAGGGAATGTAATTAGGGCGTAACGTCATATATTGAATGACGTCGTAGTTGGGTATGTGACGTCACAGACGTCAAGCTGTCGTATTTTCTGTCACATGGAATGCAATCGTTTAAAAGCAGAGGCAGCAAGAGGGTTAAGGCATATTCCATTTCTACTTCTAATTACGAACATATTGATATATACATTAATATAGTTATCAATTCTGAAACATCGAACAAATACAATGAAGGCAAACTGGAAAGCAAAATTCGTATTATCACCAACACCGTAAACGACGTCTCTGTATTTGCTGTTTTTTTTGTTGTTGTATAATTTTGCATATCGTTTTACCGTCTTATGGAATGATTTCCCTTTCTAATGTCATTTATGTGTAAACAAAATTTCACTGCAGCACAGTATTTTTTTCATCGATTTGGTCTACAAACAATTCTTGACTTGAAGTAGGAACAAATAATTACATTTGTATCTACATTCTGAGTAACCTCCTTTTGAGTGGATTGATCTTTGATGTTTGTAACAATTCCGTAATATCTGTGAAATATTTTGTCTCCTTTGCAATGGATTGAATACATTTGTTCTGCTTTGAAATTATTCATCATGTGTATAGATATAAGAAGATGTGGTATGAGCGCCAATGAGACAACTCTCCATCCAAGTCAAAATTTATAAAAGTAAACCATTATAGGTCAAAGTACGGTCTTAAACACGGAGCCTAGGCTCACATCGAACAGCAAGCTCTAAACGGCCCCAAAAATTACTAGTGTAAAACCATTCAAACGGGAAAACCAACGGTCTAATCTATATAAACTACGAGAAACGAGAAACACTTATGAACCACATCAACAAACGACAACTACTGAACATCAGATTCCTGCCTTAGGACAGGTGCAAACAATTGGTTTCCCAGTAATTATTGTGTACGATGAACTACTTTGGATCCGTTTTGCAACAATATACATGCAGCAAAAGACATCGGAAAATAACGGGTATTAGGATTTTACGTCAGGAACAGTAGCCGACGATACATTAAATAATCTATTAATGAGACAATTTTGTATGCTGGCTTCTCAATTTTTAAAATCATAACTAGGTAGCCTACTATTGTCATTATACACAAACACTTTTTTTTTTTAGAAATCCCTTTACTTATACCACTAATTAATCGGACAATGTGGGTTATACAAAATAGAGAACATGTCTGGTTATTTGGGATAACAGGGATTCTGTAGCAGAACTCAATCAATTCATGATCGCGACTGTAGAACCTGTGAAGTTATTTCAGTCCTACATCGTTGTCTCGCTGGCAATCTTTTTAAAACCGGAGGATTGTAGAAAGATTGCTAATGATTGATTTAATTGGAAAGGGGAGGGGCTTAACCTAATCAGCAGACTTTTCATAATTTGTTGAGATGACACAATATTTCATTACTCGAATATTGGCTCTTGAAAGACTTTGATAATCTTTTTTGAATCGAAAGATTAGAGGTAGTTTGATCAATGAAGAACATTAATATAATTCCTTGTTCTCAGTGTTTTAATTTTTTTTGTCGTTTCACATTGTAGGCTAGAGTACAACTACTTTGGTTTGTCTGAACATACACTTACACATGTTGACGCACCTGGACATATGAATAGAAACAGAGAGCGCATGCATGAAGTTCTTATAGAAAGTTTGATAGGCCCAGCTGTCATAATAAATGTGAAAAGAAAAGTTGCAATCAACCCTGGATATGGACTAACAATACAAGATTTGCTAGAGTGGGAAGCTCGATTTGGTAGAATACCTTGTGGTGCCTTTGTCATAATGAACAACGGGTGGTCAAGGAGATATCCATTCGCTAATAGAGTATTTAATACTAATAATATTTCAGATCCAACAAGCTTCCTATTCCCAGCGTGGACTGTTGAGGCAGCGGATTGGCTTCTTTCAAACAGACGCGTCAAAGCTATTGGTACAGATACACCATCCCCTGATCTAAGAAGTCAGCCGCAAAGATTTCCGGTTCATGAACGTATATTCCGCGATTCTGTATTATCACTGGAAGCTGTGGCAAACTTAGATAATGTTCCATATCGTGGTGCAACTATTTTTGTACCCGCTCTGAAATTATTTGACGGAAGTGGTGCGCCAGCTAGAATGTTTGCAACAGTTCCGAGACGTAAATGTACTTAAATCCAAAATATATCATATAATTAAAAATATTCTTTAATTTGTTTTGATTTTAATTTCAATGAAATTTTTTAACAAAGTATCATCCTCTCAGATTCATCAGCTAAATCATCAAATAGTAATCAATCTTAACAATATGAAAATAAGGAAATGTGGTGTGATTCCTAATACATACGCAGTCTTCATATTGCCTTAAAAATTAGTAAGTCCCAGCTTTGTTTCATAAGAATAGCAAAAGTAGATTCAATTTTTTTGATTAAGGAACTCTGATTCAAACAAGAGTATAGAACTGTGCAATTGACACAATACTTTATTTTTTATTGTGTTTGGTGGACGTGGTTTTCAAGAGAAACAGCTAACCATGTTCGTATGGAAATAAACTGTGCTCCACCTCCCATGCACTGACATGTATCTTGATTTATATGTGCCAAACTTTATAGTTCGACTAGCTATATTATATCCATGCATCATGTAAACGTATAACGTAACATCTTACATTTTAATATCCCCCGAATCTGTACAAAAGCATTTTATGGGTTGTCATGATTCTGTCAGTTTGGTTTGGTCATGGCCTGTCAGGAATTTTAATACCGAGAATTAAAAGTTTATCACAATAGTTTAGTTTAAATGTGTTGATTTAAAACGCATTGAAAAAGGGCTATGTTCATGCTAAAAAAATGCACACAAGACAACACCGGCGTGCTGGTGTTTATTCAATCATACCCCAGAAGAGAGAGAGAGAGAGAGAGAGAGAGAGAGAGAGAGAGAGAGTAGCAGACAAGAATGAATGCGTATGTTTAGTCAAACATACAACCTGCCCCCTCGAGCGCTTAAAATTTACAGATGGAAGTCATGATTATAAATACAGAGCAGTGGAACTTTATTTGAAGGTATGGAAAATTCTCACCTGTCAAATAATAAGACTGCAAAAACGTAACTTTTATATAGATATAGGAAGATGTGGTATGAGTGCCAATGAGACAACTCTCCATCCAAGTTACAATTTATAAAAGTAAACCATTATAGGTCAAGGTACGGCCTTCAACACGGAGCATTTGCTCACACCGAACAGCAAGCTATAAAGGGCCCCAAAAAATTACTAGTGTAAAACCATTCAAACGGAAAAACCAACGGTCTAATCTATATAAAAACGAGAAACGAGAAACACGTATGAACTACATAAACAGACGACAACTACTGTAATCAGATTCCTGACTTAGGACAGGTGCAAACATTTGCAGTGGGATTAAACGTTTTAATGGTACCAAACCTTCTCCCTTTTCTGAAACAATAGTATAACATCACCACATAGAAAAACACACTATAAAATATCAATTGGAAGGCTTAACTCAATCAAAAAACGTAAATTAACATACACAATGAACGAATAAATTTGACCTGTGACACCTGAATGCAAATACACAGTTAATAAAAAATTACAAGGGATAAATATTTAAAGTCAAAAGTAAATAAACAGGTTTAAACAAAGTTAACGTATGATATCACTGTAAAATTTCAAACAATTTATAGAAAATCATCACTTTTGAAGAAACCTGCGTCATATTATACACTGGCAAATGAAAATAATTTTGTTGTTCAGTATACTTCTTCTTCTGTGTGTATAAAATCTTCCGTTTAGGAATACCAAGAAATTTCTTTAATATCAATAAAGCTAATCTAACACTTGGTACATATGGGGTGAATATCAACAATACAAATATACAATTAGTGCTAGATAAAACTTCCTGTACAGGTCCAAGAACAGCATCTAAGGAAAAATGAAATATTTTGATGTTCATAGTACGAAGAAATGAAAATTTGTAGTAATTAAATACCAAATAATCAAAGCTGGTATATAGACAAGATCTATGACCATATGAATATCTATAGTTAATCTAATTTTTTTTATCCTGCATACAACTATACTGGGATTTATATATGGTCAACTCATTAAAAGTTCCCCGTGCGGCAGAAAAGCCTATGCTGAAACGGGAAAGGGGAGGCGTTGTTTCACGTTTCGGGATGTACGACGTTACATATATACCAGGCCTGATTCAACAGTGGAAACAATATGCTTAAAAGGGTTGTCCGTTTGGCTGTGTGGGATGTATTAATACGGAGCCACGTCGAGTCGGAATCTGATGTAGAGAAATCTTGAAACAACACAGGGCCCATGAGGGCCTGTTGCAAGAATGTTTGCTCCTGTCCTCATACTGGTCGATCCACTCTACAGGACTTATCTGTTAGATTATTGTTAATGAGTTCTTTTACTGAATATGCATGCAATATTTGTCACTTGATGTTAGGCTAACAATTAACAATCAATCAATGAAACCTGTATAAAATTTGACTTTTTGGTGTTGTAAATTCTGAAAACTCTTTTGAGATGCCGGTCTGCTATTAACCAATTATAGTCAACATATCCGCTTTTGAGTCTTTGAAACGCGCTGAGGCTTTGACTCTCAAGCCTCAAATAGTTTGTCTCATTAGAAATAAGGGTCAAGCTACGACACTGGCCCCGACATTACAAAATATGAATCAATTTTAACGAAATAACAAACGGCCTATTATGTGACAAAACAAAGAACGAGATACAAATATGACAAACAGCAACCAACAATAATCACTGAATTACAAGCTACCGACTGTGGACAGGCATAAACAGAATGTTGCAGAGATGATATAAAAATAAGAAGATGTGGTATGATTGCCAATGAGACAACTCTCCCCAAGAGACTAAATGACACAGAAATTAACAACTATAGGTCACCGTACGGCCTTCAACAATGAGTACATTTTGTGTAAAACCCATTTTCAGCTATAACAGGCCCCGAAATGACAAATGTAAAACAATTCAAAAGAGAAAAATAACGGCCTGATTTATGTAAAAAATAATGAACGAAAAACAAATATGATATACAAAAAACCGACAACCTCTGAATTACAGGCTCCTGACTTGAGACAGGCACATACAGAATGTGGCGGGGTTAAACAAGTTTGTTGGTGCCAAACCCTCCCCTAACCTGGGACAGTGGTGTAACAGTACATCATAAGAACAAACTATAAAAATCAGTTGAAATGGGCTTAACTCATCAGATGGATACAAAGCAGAAATACATATAACAAAAACACAGAGTAGACGTGGCAGGGTACTTATACATCCCTACAACAACAATTGTTACACAACTTATTTAAACTCTTCGTTATAAAATCATTGCGCAATCTTTCAAACTCATTCCGCATAACGCACATAAATGCATAACTTTTTAACACTTAATTGTTTGGTCAAATACTAATATCACATAATGTTTTGACTATTAATCGGTTGATACCGCTGCTGGATGAGTACTTGTCCCCGAGGGTACAATCCATCCAGTAGCAAATGCTTCAGTATAATAATTGATTAACATGGCATGATTTAGTTGACAAATTTTTATGCACATATACTTTGCTATTTAGGCCTTAGACTATGGCAAGCCGTTCTCGTCAAAACTATGTTTAAACCATTTTTCGAAAAATTTACACACGGAGACTTAAAAATAAACACACTGAGATTAAAAAACATAAAAACACACACTGAGAATTAAAATTTACACACTGAGATTTCATAAAAACGCACTGAGATTACAAAAAATGAAAAACACACACTGAGAATTGAAAATTACACACTGAGAATTGAAAATTACACAATGAGATTTGAAAAAGACACACTGAGATGAAATAAACTGAACAACACACACTGAGAATTTGAAATTACACACTGAGAATTTAAAATTACACACTGAGATTTGTGCGCACTTTTTATGCGCACATATCTAATTAGCATAATTAATCTGAATCTATTACAAGCTTAAAACAACTAGGGGACAGAACTCGTTAGTCCTTCAATTTGGCGCTAAATGTTTTATAAAAAACATTAAAAATACAACGTATAGAAAAACTACGTTATTAAAGACCAATAGAACAAGAAAAATACCCACTTACTCTCATTACAAAATATAACCAATTGGTGAAAAACTTTATTAAGATTATAAGAAAACATTGGAATAATCTGCAAAAATACAAACAATGCAGTGAATTTTTTCCCAGGTGCCTATTATAGCATATATACGTAACAAAAATATAAAAAATTACCTTGCGAAATCAGGGTAACAGTTGAAAGACTTTTGAAAAGGGACCATGCTTAAACAGTTTTAAGCAAAAATCCCGATATACTGTTAGTAATAATCTGAATTATAGGCAAAAGAACTTATGAATACGAGTTAGCAAAAATATTTGTTAAGTCTTGAAATTTATTACGAATGTTGGTTGTAGGAACCGCATTTCATTATAATGACAAGAGTTCGGGAGACCAAGATATTAATCTGTTGAATTATTCATCTCATGAATATTCATTAGTCATTTGCATATTAATCTCAGTGTGTATTTTTGAAATCTTAGTGTGTAATTTTAAATTCTCAGTGTGTGTTTTTCATATTTTTAAATCTCAGTGTGTAATTATAAAATCTCAGTGTGTAATTTCGATTTCTCAAGTGTGTAATTTTAATTTGTCAGTGTGATTTTTTAAATTCTAAGTGTGTAATTTTTTCGAAAAAATGGTTTAAACATAGTTTTGAAGAGAACGGCTTGCCATATGAGCCGATTTTTGTTGTGCTATTTAGGCCTTAGACTATTTTTGTTGTGGTATTTAGGCCTTAGACGATTTTTGTTGTGCTATTTAGGCCTTAGATGATTTTTGTTGTGCTATTTTATGTTCAGTAGTTGTCGTTTGTTGATGTGGTTCATAAGTGTTTCTCGTTTCTCGTTTTTTATAAAGATTAGACCGTTGGTTTTCCCGTTTGAATGGTTTTACACTAGTAATTTTTGGGGCCCTTTATAGCTTGCTGTTCGGTGTGAGCCAAGGCTCCGTGTTGAAGACCGTACCTTGACCTGTAATGGTTTACTTTTAAAAATTTCGACTTGTATGGAGAGTTCTCTCATTGGCACTCATACCACATCTTCTTATATCTACTTAGATGATTTTTGTTGTGCTATTTAGGC